TGAAAAAAGTGTCGCTTACGTTATTTTGGCGGTTAGGGCTCGATATACACGGTACGTTTTTTTTTACAAACGTTTTGTGTACAATATTTTTGATACTTAGGTTGTTTACACTTGCTTGGTTATCAGGTTATCTGGTTAAAAATTATTATTCTGTAGTGTATTTTATTGTTGTAAACTGAATAAAAAATATAACCACATAACCAGATAACCCGATAACCAAGCAAGTGTGAACAACCTAACTTTTATTTAAACGCATAAAATGTCTGAATTTGTTGTTTTATACATCAAAATGTTTGATATGAATTGAATTAATATCAAAACTATATACAATGCTTATAACTGTTTTTTATACGATACGTTAATTAATTTATTTAAATGCCCGCATTTATTTTATGTAAACTTCAAGTATTGCATGAATGGATAACCAACTGTAGCACAGTAAACCATATTATTTGGTATTTTAATTTATACCTACTGTTAATCTGCAAAACCTGTAAATTTAATAAAATCTCGTTTTATTGATAAAAAATGTTTTGGTAGTTTGCAAACTGATTTGGTAGTCTTTTTGGTACCTTAAAATATCTCAAGTGGCAACGCTGGCCGCAAGGAACAGCTCAGCGGCAATTTGACGACAATAGCGAGGGGATAGCTGCACTGAGCCAAAAGCACAATGGTTTTTTCAACCAAGTTATGGCTTGATTTTTTCATGGTTAATAAGCCGATTGTAAGAAATGTGATTCAAGTTGGCATTTGAGAACAAATTCATATGTATGGCAGTGGCTGAACGAGCAGAGGTGGTTGCTGTTATTTGTTGGCTTCCAGCGGGTTCGAGAGTACGAATGCCGTCAGCGCGGCACATAATTTTTATAAATTTTTTTTTTTGTTTTTCAAGTTGAACATTTGAAGGTAGATTTATAAAGCGGCTGTAGCTGAGAGTTCAGAGATGCTTGCTGTTATTCGCTAACCCAGCAAACACAGTCTCTAACGTTAGAGAAATTTGAATTTCCACATGATGACTAGGGTACTTCTCTAATCGGTCTCGAGTTGATGACGAAGTTAGATAACTACATTATAATTCGATTCGAGAACGATAAGAGAAACAACGCAAATTCAAATAAATGTAAATAAGCAATATTCCAACTGAATGAATAATAAATTATCTTTAAGTTCAAATAATTCATTATTATTTTAATGCAAATACAGTTAATACAAATATTACAAACAAAGCGTTTTATTTAATAAAGCAAAATCGCATTTTGAAATTTACATTCGAATCGAATCCTATTAGAGATCAACAAACGAATTCGATTAGAGAATTAATATTTTCTCGAGTCGAGAACTACATATGTCCCATTTTTGTTGAGATCGCTATGATTCTCGATAGTTTTTCGAGTCGTTCTCTAACGTTTGAGATTGGAGAATGTGGCTAGTTCTCCAATCATTCTCTTATCGGCAACTAACCTCAATGTTTGCTGGGAACATTCAGAAGATGCGGTTTCAAATATCTGCAAAGGCAACTTGTTAAAATGATAATAAAAATGTTTGTTTTGTGTCTCCGAATTATGAAAAAGCATATGTGAAGTGCAGAACATAAGCCCATTAAAACGAAAAAAATCGACAATAAAAAGTTTGGTTAATGTAAACTAAAGTGTGGTTAATATTACCAAATCATTGTTGAAAACATCAACCAAGGTATTGTTAATATTAACCAAAAATCACATTGATTCCTTTTCAAGTTTGAATTTGGTAATATATATATATATATATATATATATATATTACGTAATATATTACGCAACATTTATTTCTTTAAGTCAAATTTATTTTTCTACGCAATCTCTTAATTAGTATGTCATTAAGTCCATCTCTTTTCTAAGCGCACTTAAACTGTTGCCAGTCAGATGTACATATTTTTCGCCATAAATGAAATAATGACATCTTATTTGTGAAAATTGTCGTGTTTTTGTTCTTGGTTAATGATAAATTCTCCCAGATACAGAATGTTTTTCCCAGCATTGACGTCGCGACTCCAGCCTGTACGGCAGTTTGGACAAAACTGGTACATGTGTGGCGATTTGGACGTCAGGTTTACGTTGTAATATTTTGCGCAAAGTTTGGTTGTTCTGAATTCATTAACCATCAGAATATCTGCTTGACGTTGTTTTAGTGCTGCGATTAATAACCGATTTGTACGCCGATATCCGCGCATTTGTGAGTTTGAAGCAAACTCTGTTGATCCGATGCAGATTAACGTTTTCTCTTCTTTGTTTGGTACCAGTTGTTGCGCAATTTTGTTGCAGGCTTTTTGTCGGCAAATGTATTTCTTCAGCTTCAGCCGAGCCACCTTTCTTTGCGAGAATATTTTTTGTTTTTGCTCCAGAATTTCAAGTTCAAATTTACAATAGTGGTATTCATCTAAACCGATAACTTTATCAAGCAGATAATCTTATAAGTTTATGCACTCTGTTACATGAACGACCCACACTCTCTTTTCGTTTACACATGCGACAATAGGCGTGTTTTCTTTGGTTATAAAGCGCAGTGTCACTAACTTTATACTACTAGCACGGGGATAAAGAAATTATAGAAACTACCTCACTAAATTGGAAAAAATTATATTTACGAGATATCTATTTAAATAAATGTACATATAACATAAAGGCTATTTATTTGAAGCAAGTTATAAGAAACAATGGCAGAATGTCTGTTTGTGTATGAATTCATTTGTCACGGCTACCAAACTTTGCGAATTATCAGTGAAACAAAACAAACAGACGGGATAATAATTGAACCAGATCTCTATCAGGATCATATCGTTGTTGAATTTGCGTGCAAAATTTGTATGCGGATCCCGATTATTGCCTAAGAAAACATAGCTAGAGTTGCGACAGAGTTGCATTGTCTTCAGTTTATCAAGTTTATTCAGTGAAATCGCTGGATAAATTTATCAGAAATGTGTAAACGAGTTTCCATACAAATTTTGACAGTTCATTTATAAGGTTTACATAATTATAAGTTTATACGGTTTACAATGCATTTATAAGGCTTGATGAATACCCTTAATATTCTTTAAAATTTGACGAATTCGCAGACAATTCTGATTTTGTGGTGAAATCTTTCGTGTATTTATGTAGTTTTATTTTGCGAGAATAGAAACCAGAAAGGTGTTGATAGTACGAATTTTTGATTTTCACAGGAACATGGTTCTGGATGCCAGCTAAAATGAGCCGACACCCAGGATCTAGCCCAATCTTGTTGTCGTATTTTGTTCCACGTATTTTTATTAGATTACCTTCACAATCGGTTTCATTTGGTTTCAGGTTTCTTTTTTTGCCTTTGGTTTCATTTTGTATTTTCTTTTCCATCGAAAAAGATACCGACACTCCATCGGTTACAAGTGAAGAAAACGTTTTGGTGCACGTTGAAGGAATTTTAAAATATTTTCCAAATTCACTTTTATCGAAGGAAGGAAATGGTCCTTTGAATAATTTCAATCGACACAATAGTTGATGGAACGCAAATCGATCGTATCTGACGTGATGTAAACCGTGTTTTAGTTGTGGTATTAGTGAAAATTTTTTTATTTTATTTATCTCATTATACCGTTGCAGGTTATAAAAGAATTCGATGGAAGACCAAAATAGTTTAACATTCTCTATTACGAATGAAATTTAATAGTGTGAAATGTGTATGTGCAAGTAAAATTACAGGTGGTCGAACATCAAAAATCAAAGTGAAGCTACATATATCATATCCAAGAGTCGGTAGTTTGCACCTTTTCCAAATTTTTAGAACTTACATTGCACCGTAGCAGTAGTCGTCTTAAGTTTGAAATACTGACAGCCGATTTCTCAGTGGATGTTTAATTATAATCAAAAGATTATCTCTTATTGTCATCTTCTCAGTGTACTTAATATATGAATAACTCACCACCACCTTTCATAAGATTTATTAATGGCGAAACCAGCTTTTCCTGTAAATCCTGTGTGATTGCAAATAGGGTTGGGTTGAATCCAAATAGTTTGTTATTTTGCGAAATCCTAGGAAACGAAACAATTGCAAGCTGGCATCTTTTTAATAATGGTTTAAATTTAATTAATGCTTTCAATCTGCTCACAAGTATGAGTTGTCAAAAACCATTGTTTTGAACCTGTAAACCTCAAGTAAATGTCAATCACACCAATTTACAAAAGTATATATTAAATGTAAAAATCAGTACAAACTCAAAAAATCAGTAGATTTTGCGTACTGATTTAGGGCTCTTAAAAATCAGTACAATAGAAAAAAATCAGCACATGTACTGATTAAATCAGCGCATCTGGCCACCCTAATGTACATACATATGTAACAAACACGAAATATAACTTTTAGCTTAATACTACTACTAATAATAACTTATAATATAAAGCACTCACTAAATTTTATATATACTCCCAAAGTTTTTTATATATGGTTTCCACTCCACGAATTTTCTTGCACTCTTAATCCGCAAAACGTATAGTAGCAATCGCGTGAAAATCTAGAGATGTAAAAAGACATCGATGTATCGAGCAATAACAATGGCCATCAAAGGCCCTGGATACATTGGAATGCTGATTAGATATTAATCAAATAGAATCTAAAAGCTTTACATTATTTATCACGCATGTAATTCATTACTACTTTTCCTACTGGGTAGATACTGGTGCGCGCCGATTATTTTTGATGGTGCCCTTGCCAATACAATGGCGTTAGATGAAAATAACCTCGGATGGTAGCATTTCGATCAAATAGGACTTTAAGTTTGAAAGAAAAAGGAGCTGACCGCAATGAAATGTAGCAGTCATGCGAACTATCGTCAGTCTCTCTATTCCTACTGCATATTCAAGTAAGGTGAGTGGTGGCATTTGTTACGCTCGCAACCGGCGCAGACCGATGAAATGCTTTGCTCACATAATCGACATTCGAAAGCGTGAGCACAGTAAAAGTCTCAGAATTTTACAAATCATTTAATCGTAGATGAGTCGTTGAGGTGTAAGGTTTGTGAAAATCGACTTGAAGATTTTAATCACACAACTTTTGGAATATTTCGAAAAAAAATAAGAGTAGAGAACATAAACGAGAAAAGCAATTAACTAAATTAAATACATATTTGGTACATCCAAGTACTGTGACGATAACTCAAAAGGTAAATAAAATTAAGGTGAATTTGTTAAGGTAAATACTCGTAAATGCGTGTAAACAAAAGCTAATAGAATATTAAGAATATAAACACAAGATCAGCTGCTGATCTTTAGATATGTATGTACATATGTTCATATGTATGTATGTACGTGATACAAAAATGAGATATCGGTCAAGAGCAATTTTCCACGATATTTTATATATAGTTACCTACATATGTACATATGTATATTCTATGTACACTAAAGTGAATAAAAGCGTTGACATTTACGTAACAAATTCTCAAGTGTAATAAAAAAAATGCATAAAAAACCAATACAAGTGGTTTTGGCGATATTATAGAATTATTTGCAAAATCCAACTAAAACTGGGTGCTGGATGAAGTGGATGGATTTGTTGGTTTTTTTATTAATTTTTTTTTTTTTTTACATACATACATACATATGTATATATGTATATAAGTATCACCAAACCTACATACGAGTATAGTAGTGCAGTGCTCGTCAAAGTGGTGGTCCGCGGACCGGTGCCGGTCCGTAAGCCATAAGTCGCCGGTCCGCAAAGGGATTTTGGATTCATGTCAAAGCAGAATACCCGGAACTTGCTGAAATTGCTCTGAAAGCTCTACTCCCATTTTCTTCATCTTACCTTTGTGAGACTGGGTTTTCAACCATGAGTATTATTAAGACAAAGTACAGGAACAGTTTAAATATTAGTTCTCCATTGCGTGTCGCACTGTCCACAATTGAGCCACGACTTGATAAGCTTGTAAATAATAAACAGGCTCACCTCTCGCATTAGTAAACATCGACTTTCGTAACTTTACAAGGAATGAATATAATTTTAATAAAACTTGACGTGCTTATAATATGTCTTATTATTATAACTTTACAGTTATTACATTTGTGAGGTTTTATATTACTGTTTAATGAGGCTATGTATATACAACTTGTATAATAAAAACAACTTAAATTTGTTAAACATTCATAAAAAATCGTTAATATCTGCTATCATTAAATGGTAATAGGTCATATATAGACACCCGGCTAATAAAGAAATTCATTTAAACAAATTTTAATACATATATGAGATGATCGTAAACGAAAAATAATCAATAAAAAAAGGTACCGGTCCCCGACGTAATAGAAAAACTGCAGCCGGTCCGTCACACTCAAAAGTTTGACGAGCACTGTTGTAGTGCACATAAGCATGCATGTGAATGTGTGTGCTGCTGTTATTTTTGAAATTCTATCGATCGGTATTGAAGCGGCTAATAAGGCTTTAATGCTGATAGTTATATTCTTTTTCTGCCATTACTGTACTTAGTACGTAGTATGTACAATGTGTGTATGTACTTCTTGTTGTGATTTTGAAGTAGAAAGTTATAGTGCTAGTTGAATTTTAAGAATTTTTTACGGTTTAAGAGACACAAATAGAAGGAATGATTAATTTTAATAACCACTTTTATATTTACTGCTTTTATTTTATTCTTTTTCGAATTTGATATTTTTATGTTCAGATTTTTCTACGCATTTTGCATCTCACATTTTTGTGCTTATTACTATTATTATTTGTTTAATACGTTTTATTCTTTTTTACAAACCAGTTCTGTGTTATTCTACTCTCGCGAATTCCCCCTTTAGATCAATCAATGCATAAGCCACTCGCCCAAAACCCATGCCGGCAAACGACGATGACAAATCAGATCTGCCTTGATTTTCATGTTTTATATTCCTCTAATTGATTGTAGATAAATAAACAAAAGGCGACATAAGCGCGCGTAAATAGATATGTACATAGTGACACAGCTTAAACGCGCTTCAGTAATTTTTTGAAAAGCTGTTTGCACATTTTGTTCTAATGTAAACAAACGTTGATTTTATTGAACGAACATGCATACCCACATGCATACGTATGTATGTATATACATATCGCACACCATCTTCAAAAGAGTTACAACTCTAAATTTGGCATTTTTGAAATTATGCGCTAAAAATGTACACAGAGCCTTTATTTACATCTCAGCAAAAGCTGGAGCAAATTTTTGTTATAATTTGTTAAAAAAAAAACCTAAGGTAAAGTCGCCCTTGCCTATATGATTAGCATGTGCTGCGAAATAGTTTTATAGTTTATTTTGAGTTGTGACTCTTTTGAAGACGGTGTGCGATATGTACATTAGAGTGTACCAGAAAAAAAGGTCCGCCGTACTCCCCTGAGTATTCAAACGAAACATACTGAGCTTGAAGTTGTTCAAGCCAAATTCATTTTAAAGTGGTTGAAAATACATGCAGGAAAAAGCAATTGACTTTTTCCTGGGACATCGCCATATTAAATAAATGAGTTCGTTGCAGGTAAAATAGTGAGAATTTCGATTAGTTATCATTTAAAATAAAGTAGTTTATAAATTACTTTCAAACTAAAACAAATTTCCTGCAGGGAAATAACTAGATAGATGTTCTGAGATTAAACGCAACATGAGTTTTGCCCACCGGCAGCCCCTCAAGGCCTCTCAGTTATTTCTGAGCGAAGGATGCACCCAGTTGCTGATGGTGACTTCGATGGCCGAAGGAGGATGTGCTATAACTGGTTATTGACGAGGAATGATTGGTTTGAGCCAACCCCCCGAATAACCTGGCACACAAAGTAAAACAAGCTCGATATGTTTACCAACATAATTTAGTCGAGACTTGCACTGCCGAACTAGTTTGGAAGTAGTTGGCTGGTAAATGCCTCAAGCTTGGCTGTCACTACAGACACGTAAACCTATTCTCCTCCATCTATTTTTCACCACGTGGTCCATATATTTGAATGAGGAAATGTGAAGCTTATGCTCATTCCTGACCTGGAGTCAGTTTTGGAGTATCAATAAAGATTCGATAATATTTGAGTCCGAACTCAGTGTTGAAATTAAACCAGCATTCAGCCTCAGGAAACTCAACCTTATAGAACCTCTTCAACATATGTATTGGTGGCGTTCTACCCTGTGGCATTGAAAAGACGCAAGTGCTCCGATCTCTGACGTCAGCAACTTCTACCTCGCCCCACTCGGTGTTATATCAACATCTATTTCTTTTTAGTCTGCAGGTGGCCTTTAAGGCTTCCCTACGTATTAAGATACAAAGTGACGGCAAGTGCAGCAGTGCATCAAGATCAGCAACAGGTGTTGTAGGGACAGCTCCCTGTTTACATTATGCCACTTACTGAAGGCAATTATTTCTTCGATGGGACACGTTTGCGAAACCCGTCTATAATTAAACGAATTAGTTGCTCGGATGGACGAACTGATTTTCAAAATAAATCTGCAGGCGTTGTACTAGTTATACATACATGTGTATGTATGTATGTACATGCTCACCCAGCCAGCAAAGAAACGTAAATTTTGCCGACAGTGCAGTTTAACTCAAATTTCTGTATCCGAAAACGCATACAACAAAACTCCTACAGTCATCATCAATTTACGTATACGGAAAACATTCGAAAAAGATGATGTCATTTGAAAGCAATAATTGTATTTTATTTGCTCAAGCTAAACATTTGAAAGCATGCATGCGTTGTCGGCAGTGGCTAAGTGTGCAGAGGAGTGTGCCGCTATTTGTTAGCTTCCAGAAGGTGCCGGGTTCCAAATCCGTCAAGCGCTTCCTAATTTGATTTTATTTCTTTTGAACCATGAAAAAGTATCTTTGAAGTGCAGAAGGAAAGCGTATTGAACCAAAAATCCAATCAGAAAAATTTCAGAAAAAACAGCCGAAAACGTATCCTTTTCACCACCATTTTCGGTACTTTTCTGTACATACTTTTCTGTCGCACACTTTATTGGGAAAACGGACCATTAAAGTATCCGGAAACGGAATCGGTAAACGGGCAAAAATCCGGTTTTCGTCGACTTTTTTCCGTTTTCGGATCGGTTTTCGGATTTTTTGTAACTATACTTCAAAAAATATATGTAAGTTAACGGCCCTACGAGTCTATATTCCACTTCTGAATTAAAATGTTCATTTAGAAAAAAACTGTAAGAAAAATTCTTGAGATTTAGGCATATTTGCAGCCCTCAAACATATAATTATCATACATTTTATTACTTTTAACAGTAATTCAATAATACAAAGTTTCATGCAAGCACTTATCAATTGTTTGCAGCATTAATTTAATAAATGATATTTTCTCTTTCCAGATGTATTCAATATTCCCATCGAGCTTATCGCAACCAGTGCATTCGCCTCAGACCAAAGCCGCGCAACTGGCCTTTCAGCTCTTAGATAACGCTACAATGAATGCACAATTTAATCGCCGATTCGAACAATTACTACGCTCTGAGAAATACTACGACTGCGTATTTCACATTGGCGGTGCACAACTAAAATGTCACAAATTAATATTATCCACAGCCAGTCCAGTTTTCGAGGCCATGTTCTATGGTCCAATACGCGAGCAACAAAAAGAAATTGAGATTTTGGACATTGGCGCCGAAACTTTTCAAATGCTTCTAAATTTTATTTACGCCGGTGTCATGCCGGTGTCCCTTTCGCTAGAAGAGGCTATTGAGCTATACTATTGCGCTGAGAAATATTTAATCACTGACCTGACGAACACTTGCTTATTGACGATAGCGCGCAAATTACGTTACACAAATATTCTACCTGCGCTGGAGCTTTGCGTCTGCATGGATCTGCGTGATCTGCTGGAGGTATGCATGTCTTTCTTTAACCGCTGCTGTCTCAACAATCCACAATTTATGACATCGCATAAGAGTCACTATGTGCATGTATCCAAGGAATGCGTCAAGGCAATAATTGCAGCTAATAATTGCGCGAAGACTAGAAAGCAAGTGTTGTGGTTCGTTTACGAGTGGTGCCAGCAGGAATGCCATGAATTAGGATTGCAGCAAGAAGATTGTGCAGTAATCATCAATGATCTGCAATTGCCTGCCTACAGTGATGAGGAATGCGAAGTATTGAAGCTAAAAACGCCACAGCGACAAACCTGTAATTCTATCGAACGTAGCTATTTTAAGGCATGCCGGCCCTTCACTGTCGACCAGGATACACATGAATGGACCGTGTTTGTCAAATGCAATCGTTTTATTGCATTGCATGGTCTCATCATTTACAGTCGCCTATCACCACTGGCACATTACGCGTTCAAGCTACCCAGCGAGTACAGTGAAAATTTGCATATTGAAATTTTAGCATCCGCTAATGAAAGAAGTGATGAAGTGAGTGATCAAGAGGGCAAT